AGAGTGTAGGTCGTGAGAGTTAAGATGCTCAACAGCTTCAATATTGATTAAACCTCGAATACTTTGCCAAAAAGCAGTAGAAGTCTAATAGGTCGAGAATTAGAGAGGTCAGAAGGTTTTCCAGAATTCTTAAAAACAGGAACTACAGAGGAGGGCTTCCAACAAGCTGGAAAGCAAGAAGCAGTGAGGCAATATTTGTAGAGTTTGGAGAGAACTGGAGCAAGTTCAGGAGCATATTTCTTTAGGACGGCGGCCAGGATCCCGTCACTTCCGTTTGCCTTATAGATGTCTAGTTTAGAAATTATGTCTGAGACCAGTGATGGTGTTATGCGCATATCACTCTGTGTTTTAGTGGGGAAATCAGGTGTGGGTACTCGAAATGAGTCGCGTGTTGAATTGGAAGAGAATTTCCAAGCAAAGCATTCAACCTTATCTGATGTAAATGCCAGGACTTCAAACTGATTGAATAGAGGAGGTATTGAGCATTTGTTCTTGTTCAACACACTCTTGAAGAGCCGCCAATAATCTCTAGAACCAAACTTGCGAGATGCTCTACGTTCTTTCATTTTGTCAGCAGACAGTAACTTCGCTTCTATGAGGACACGCTTGTACTCATTACGAGCAGAGACACAGAGACGTCTGTTGCAATCAGACATGTCGGTCTGGTGCATCCGGAAGAAGTGATTCTTGTGGGCTATAGCGGCTGAGCATGCAGGAGGAAACCTCAGATGCTAATTTTTGAACAGAATGATTAAAAACTTTATTCCAAGTGCCGTCACAAAGAAAATCACGGAACGAGTCCCAATGTGCTCGTTGATAACAGATATTCTGTTGATAGGAGGTTCTTGGGCCGAAAGACATGTTTACAGACACTACCGCATTATCAGAATTGCCAAGAGGGCAGAGCTGCATAGTACGACATGAGTCAGGAATAGAGATAAAAAAAGAGATCTAGCAGAGAAGCGCATCCATCAGGATTACTGGGGAAACGCATGGAAAACTCCACCACTTACGTGAAAGATTGAGTGACTAAGAAGTTCAGAGTTTGGATATCAGCAAGGTCAGTGATAGAATTCTTAAGCCACCTGCCATGGTTGGCATTAAAGTCAACGAACACAAATATATTTGCAAACGGGTGTAGGGAGATGGCCTTGTCTATATTATCAGAAATACTTTCTGGAACGCAACAGTTATAAAAGAAAGGGGAACGGTGGAGAAAGAAGATATAGCTGACTTAGTTTAGTAGAGAGAAACGGAAACACAGGTAAGAATTGTCTGGAGATTCAAGAGAGATCCAGCGGGAGATGTTCGCGGACATAACCTCCCAGGCCATGCATGGGAACATTACAGTCTTTCCTAAAGAAAGAAAGATAGGAATCGAGAAATCAGAGAGGGTATTGAAGAGTTGAGATTAGTTTCGTAGAGAGCTAGGATGTCTGGAGACTTTTCGAAGAGGAACGATTCCACCCTGCAGAAGTTGGTATGAATATCACAAATCTTGAAGAAAGAAACGTTGAGGGGATTAGGTGTTGTTTTTTTTTTCGAGCTAGTTTAGTTTTATATCTTTGGTTGTTTATAGTCATGGTGTGTTATTTGTCTAATTATACGTCTAATATAACATGTGCGGAAAGGGAACTGGCCCAGACTGCAACTTAGTCTGGCTCGGGGTTGCCTACCGGAGATGCTTGCAGGCACACCCTTCCATGCGTGACATGGCACTGCAAGAACCCAGATATTATGCGTCTGTTGATCAGAGGAACCTTACTAGACGGTACGCAAGAGTTCGGACTCCTCACTACCAGTTGAGAACAGCAACCAGAAAACTGCCAACCCGGTCTCCTCAGTATGAAGAGACGTTGCCACCATCCACACATATCACAAAAAATTCATGACAGCATCACTATTAAGGGTTGAGAAAAGGAAATGAACTGGGAAGCACTTCCTAAACAGGAAACAAGAGATGAGCCTCTACTACTGTTCAAAAGAAGGCGAAGGAATATGAACCGGGCGATTGGAAAACCTATCTAGTCCTATTAAAAAAGAAGTTACTAAATTTTAACTTAGTAAAATCGAGATTTCCATTAGAAATTCAACAAAGAATTAAAACTGGCAGAGACTTACCTCTGTAAGAACTTTCAAAAATCAGTCCCGTGTTTGACTTCCAGTTATTTCAAAGAATGTACAATCAGATAACTTGTGGTGCGCGCGCGCGAGAAAGAGAGATGACCTCACTGTCCACTTTTATATTCACATACTCTCTATCCCTGATATTGATAATTCATAAATATAGTATATCTTAAAAATATATTTTTACCACATATATATATGTGTGTGTGTTTCTGTGTATAATGTCTGTATAAATAAAGCAGCTACTTCTTTTATATGCCCTGTACACACACACATACATATATATATATATATATATATATATTAATTTATTTAGTATTTAATTTAAATTGTTAAGCTTATTTGTAAGCCAATAAACATTAATACTTCTTAAATTTAACCATTAATCTTGTTTGCATGCTAATAAACTCCGCATTTATTGTCATTTAAAGAGTGGGTACATTTTCGGGGGCATCCAATTAAAGTGGAGTCTTCATACATTGTATGGATTTGTTTCACTAACGGTGACAATTCGTAATAGTATTCTTCTTTCGTAGTTTTGGTGACCGTGGCAACAGATTGTAAAATTCTGTAGAAACAGTTGCCAATGATGACAAGAATAACCATTTGAAGAAGACCTTTCTTATGTTACTCTATTATTGAATATTACATCTGGAACGTCAAACGATTTTTATCATAGCAGCCCTCCGGCCACCACGACGCTATCATGTCATTATCTTTACCCTGGCTTATTTATTATCAAATCTATTTTGGCCCAGTCGGCCGATTTGTAAATCTGTTTTAGCCAGTTTCTCTCCTTCTGTTTTGAACAACCTAACCGATGACGTCGACTTTTGACAATGTCCGTCTATATTGGTCATTTTTCTTTCTGTCGCCTTTATTTTTGGTTTCCCTTTAACGTTGGTTACTCATTACAGGAATTTGGTAGAAGAAAAAAGATTCAGTTAGATGGTTATCTGTTTCACAAGGCTGGGGTGTATGGTAAAGTGAAATTAAGTGCCTGAACAATGGTGCTTAACTAAAACAATATAATATATACAGATGGGGAAGTTGTATGACAAAGTGGAAAAACTTCAGGACTTCATCAAAATAAATGTTTTGTTCTTACTCTCACTAAACGGGAAAAGACTTAATAAATGAATATGCTTGTCTATGATGCACTCTTTAGTAGCGGCGTAAAGCATGCCAGAACAGATGGTCGTTTCCCCTACAAATGGATCGTCGGTACGTACCCTGCGAAGAGTACATATGCTTTAAGTCTCTCGATTGCCTAGTCGTAATTCAAACCGTTTTACAGAAAAATCAGTGTCTATTCAAATCTTCAAACATGGGTATCCACAAAATATAATTCGGAGTAATAGGAAAGGATGTCGTATAAAGAATCCACTGATTCCTTATATATATATATATATATATATATGTGTGTGTGTGTGTGTGTGTGTGTGTGTGTGTGTGTGTTTCTGGACACAAAGTATGTAGAAACTGTCCAAATGTTCTGTAATTCCAAGCGCTTTCGGCAATACTTTTAGCCATTATCGAAGATGTTTTATTTTTGCTTTTTAACTGGGTGTATGGGTTGTGTGGATGTTTATAGAGTAATATGGATGTTTTATTTTCCGAACACAATTAGCACATTGCGGCCGTGTTCGTAGTTAATATTATTAAGTGTTGGCTTTTTCTTTTTTGTTATTAAGGCTTCCATTATTTTTAATTCTTTTTTTACATGTGGATGGGGTTTATTATGTTTGTATTTTCTACTAGTATGTGTCGAATGAAGTCTAGTAAGTTTTTATGTGTTTAAATGGGTTCAGATGGATCAACTGGGTTAATGTATTTCTTTAGAGAATTTCTACCTGAAGATTCATCTTGTTCGTAGTTAACATGCATTTGGCTTTTGTAGAAAATATTTATGTTATTTTTTACTGTTATGTTCACTATCATTATTATTTACTTTGGTAAGGCGGTTGTGGAAGCGACTGTTAACTAGTGTCTGGTTTGCATTTTTGAGTTCTTTAAAGAAAAGTAGACGAGAGTGTTTTCTCTTTTTAGGAAGTTTTTTTTTTTTTTATCACTGCTATTTTGTACCTGAGTGGGCATTCACACTTAAAGTTAAAGTGGCAAGAGTTTTGCTAGTGATTTTTTTATACAATGAGGTGGTAAAAGTGTTGTTACTGTTCTCTACGAGAATGTCTAAAAATGGGAGTTTATATTTTTTTTAACTAAGTTCGTAGGTAAAGTTAAGGACAGAGATTTTTTTAAATATGGTCTTGAGAGTTTTGATATATATATATATATATATATATATATATTAGGATATTACGCCGAAAACGTCAAAATCGCTACGTATCAATGCATCTCATCAGCCGATTGTCCAACTGCAATTGTGTAGCGATTTTGACATCTTTTCGATATAATATTCTAAAATAAATAATATTGCTCTACATTGTATTGAGCCCTCTTTTAAATTACATGTTACGAACGTTGGAATTGTACTCTATTCGTTCTCATCTTACCTGTATATATATATATATATATATATGTGTGTGTGTGTGTGTGTGTGTGTGTGTGTGTGTGTGTGTATGTGTGTGTGTGTGATTGATTGATTCGTTTTTTACGGCTTGTCAACCATTTGCCGCTTATTTAAAGTCAGAGAATACTTTTAGAGTGTAAGAAATTTTTATAGAGGTAGATAATAATGGTTTATTGATACAAGTCTTACTATTTAACCTATATATCTGGGAGGAGGTGGCTTCATACCTTTTCCAATGGTATTTACGCGTAAGTAAATATAATGAACCCAACAGGAGTTGGAACACGGATCTTCGATTAACAATCCCGAGCTATTATCCATTACACCAGCCGCACATCTAAGTTTACAGCACCTGGAATTCTCGAACAGTCACCCACCTTGGTGCTGACCAGGCTCGACATTGCTTAACTTCAGAGATCATACGGGAAACCGTGTTTTAAACGTGATGTGGCCGTAAACCTTCAGATATTTGAGAGTGATTGAGGCTCTTTATATTATGTGTATATATGTTTGCGTTTGTTTGTTGTGTGTGTGTGTGTGTGTGTGTGTGTGTGTGTGTGTGTGTGTGTGTGTCCATGTGTCCATTCTCTTCTGGAAGCAGTTCTAAGAAAGAAAAGAATTGATACAAAAAAAAGTGTAATAGAGACAAGAGAATAAAGAGAGTGGTCGGTTTCTTTCTACTCCGCCACGACAAACGTATCATTTTCTTGAATGGCCAGTTCAATGCAAGCATCCAAGACAATTCAGTTTACCGTGAACGCCAACGAGTGAAACTGAACCTATTCAAAATAATTTCTTGGGAAAAACATGAAATCAACATTTAGCATTACGAAATTCATACGATGATGAAATGAATAAAGAAAGTACAATGAGACGAAGATTCTGGGCTTTTGTTCCCAAACAAACATACACACATAATAACAAAATCTCTCAATCTGTCTGTCTGTCTATCTATCTATCTATCTATCTATCTATCTATCTATCTATCTATCTGTGTGTGTATTTTTCCTTTTTCTTTTCCGTCTCTCTCATTTATTCTCATTCTCACTCTACTGTCTATCTTAATTTCTCTCTCACTCTTACCCTCTTTTACTGTGACAGGTCGAAACGCTGTTTGAGTTCATATTTTCTCACAATCAAAATAAAATTCATCAAATTTCCGCCCTGTTCAAACATATATATATATATATATATATATATATATATATATATATATATATGTTTGAACAAGGGCGTAAATTTGATGAATTTTATGCTTATAATAACAACGTAAATATGGTAGATAATATTCACAGAACTAGTAAAATTATTACTGTTAAATTAAAGATAAGCGATAGAGTAGGCAAACTTGCTGAAAAGGAATGCTTTATCACAAAAGTAAAATGGAAAATAATAAATAGAACAAGAACTTGTAAAACCTGGGATGACCCATGCCCTTTATGCCTACATGAAAAAGTACACATTATTAAGTTTCTAAAAAGCGAAAATTTATTAAATCATAGACATAAGTTAACGGTTTTTTGCCGACATCAACAAATTTTAGCCTTAAATAATTATCTTAAAAATTTTTAAATTTCATAGCCTATAAAAATTTTAATTCCAAGCAAAAGGTTTATAAGCTCAACCTAATCATAAGATTAAAAAAACACCTTTATGAAGTCGTCAAATAACAAAGTGTAGTTCAATACGACGTATTTATATACAAACAACCCTTTTAGAAAAAAAATTTAAGGTATACAAATAACAATAATGCCAACAACTCTATCATTGAAACAGACCAGACGATATGCGTCAAACTGATGTCATCATTCACTTGAAAATAGACACCCCGACCCTACCTTATTTTAACCTCTTTCCGAAAGTAACTAATATGTTGATACAATATGTTCACCCTTAGATAGATAGATAGATAGATAGATAGATAGATAGATAGATAGATAAGAGCATCAAAGTGTAATTCTAATGTTGACACTCAGTATTTTTTTTGAAGAGACTTGTCTAGGAGACGAGATAGCAATCTAGATGAACAGATATTCAATGGTCAATGCAAGTGCACTCATAAGAAGCTCACTACCAAGCGAGGTGGCAAAATTAGCAGTAAATGTATTTATCTGCATGACATTACAGGAACTTTCTTAATAAAAATCACCGAAATCCATTCACATTTTTTCTCATTATGCTTCATTATTTATTCATCGTTAAAGTAAATGTTAATGTGAAATTTTTCCCCGTTATTTAAAATGTGAAACTGATCGAAGCAATACTTTTTTTCTTAATTCTTTTCATTTAACTCCCATCTAGACGACTGTGTGTTAGTCTCAGTGTTAATTACAAGAATCGGTAAACGATTTTATTTATGGATTTTCTTTGCTTTCAATGTAGTTTTATGCCCTTTTCTTCAGCTATTTCCATCGAAAATAAAACCATTTCTATGGAAACTGCTTTAAATTATTCATTTAACGTCACTTCAAAATTATTTTATATTTTCAGAATTGGTCAGGGGTTTAGGCATTTCTTTTTTATTTTACTAACTCTTCCAATCTTAAATTACTAATAATTTAAATAGTAAAATGATTATTTATTAAACATATGCAAAATTATTATTTATTAGGTATGTGTAAAATTATTATTTATTAGATATGTGCAAAATGATTATTAAGCATGTGCAAAATTATTTATTGTGCGCAAATAGTTATTAATTCAGCGTGTGCAAAATAGGTGTGCGCAAAAATATTTATTATGCACGTACAGAGTTATTTATTGGGTTTTTGAAAATTGATTATTTATTCTGCGTGTGAAAAATTCATATTTATTAGGTGTGGGTAAAAGGATTATTTATTAGATGTGTACAATATGATTATTTATTAGGCGTATACAAAATGATAATTTATTAGGTGTGCCAGGCGTGTGCAAAATGATTATTTATTAGGCTTTCGCAAAATTGTTGTTTATTAGTCAATGGCAAAATTAGTTATTAGTCAGGGCCAAAATGATTATTTACATTTCTGAGATGAGGTATTATGCACACTATTTACATTATTCGGACTATTACCCTCATTTTTGTCGCCATATTTATTAAAACGTTTCGACCTTCTTCAGGTAGTTGGAATGTCGAAATGAACCCTTTATTTCGTTCTAGTTCCACGTTTAATGGATGTCAGTTATCAGTTATATCCTTTTAATTCCTCTCTGAAAGTTCTCCAGCCTGGTATTGAACTCACACTCTGTGAGTCCTGTCACTGGATCTAACTAACGCCTTTATCCACTCTGCAATGTGTCCTTGAGAACATCTGTGTATGAATTTCTGGGTATTATAAACCTAATGTCCCAGTTAAGGTTAAGTGAAGAACTTAAGAGAACTGCTTTGACAAGCTTTTTTGCCCCTGTTGCATGAATTTAAGCGTGATACTAGATTGGCCTTCATCGGGCTGTATATCGATCCTGCTACCCTTTGCGCTCTCCTGTAACTGACTGTTATTTTGATTAATAAGCCAAGTGGAACTAGCTTTGGTTCTCTACATCTGCATAGGTATGTCAGGTGGTTCATTGCCAATTTTTAAGGGAGTTTTTTTTTTTTCCGACCGCTTCCATTAGTGTATCACATCGGATCCGTATCGATTTCTGAATTTATGGGAGGAGTTATCATTATATATACTATTCACATGCTGACTATTGTCCTTATCTTTGTTGCTGTTATCAAAAGGTTTAAGGTATTGTGCCCACCGGCCGATATAAAATGTATATGTAAATACTGTAAACAATGGTAATTCCTAATCCCAGAAATTTAAACATATGTTTTAAAACCTCATTTGCATTTAACAGTTTTTCTAGTCAATGTTCTGATGAACTTTCCTCTATGGTACCTAAACTCTTTAAGATTTGCGGCAAGATGACATCATTTTGCAGTTGAAATGGTTAGATGTAACCACAAGTTCTATGATAATTGTTTTTTCTCGCACTTCTTGCTTGTGGAACTCTTTTCTAGCTTCTTGATTTCCAGTCAAATTTAATCTTTAATTAATTTAAATGCAATGTCAATCGTTGTTTTCTGTCTACTTAAATCGTGTTCTTTTATTGTCCTCATATTATTTTTTCTTTCACACCCAGTAACACCCCACATGTTAGTAGCACTGTCGACTTGCTTGGAATGAAATGATTAAAAAAAACTTTAACAATCGATGGCTATTTTTTAAGGTTTTTTTTTTTTCATAGCCTTTATATCTTCCATGCATAATTTGGCGTCGAACAAAATATATCGAGGAAAGACTAGAATAATGTGTCGAGTGTTTTAATAATTCCATATATTATTTATGAAGGACAGTGTAAGCGTTACCGGCGCAGAAATTGAATGCGGAGGTTCAATTCCCGCTCGATTCTGCTTCGTTCACTTTACACTAATACTCTTAGGAAAGGCATGAATCCATCTTCCTTCAGCTACGAGCTAAAGAGTAGGACAAACCGGGCAGTATTTCCTTAGTTGGCAACCAGTCGAGGAGAAGGAAAATTCTGAATTCAAAGACCAGTCTGAAGAAGAAAGGGGTCCGTCAGGTTATCTTGCCCAACATACACCTCTTGCTGTTATGGTTGCAGTTTATGTGGTACCTTTACAATCCTAATGAAACCCGTGACGTGTGGAGGATATATAATTTTTTATCGACCATTGTTGTCATCTTTGTTGCTTGCTTCTCTTTTCGTGGAAGCTGGTGTTATTCTCACAGAGTCACTTTGAACTGTTTTCCTAAAATTGGTGATCCCTTGTTGGTATGTGGTTGGCTCGTCTCTTAAAAATCTGGCGTCATGTTGTAAGCAAAGTATGATCCTTCTTTTTTTTTTTTCACAAATGATGAGAATCGAAATTCAGATACCAACTGGTGAATGTTGGCTCATGGTACACAGATATCTGGGAAGCCTTCTCGATGTGAATTTATTGATACATCAAGAAGGACAGTTTATTGACTGCTTCCCATTACATCACGAAGAATATTGAAAGTTTTATTAATTCCACATGCTCCAGCAGCAGCAGTTGCACATTTTCAGGTAGAGGTCAGAGTGTCACTTAAATGACATTGAGGATTTTATATATATATATATATATATATATATATATATATATATTTTAAGTAACGAAAATCTTGATAATCCGTATGGATAATCCCAAGGAGGAGGAAATCCTGAGTGCTCAATGTTAAGTCAGAGTTAATAATTTAATTTAAAGAAAAACAGACCACTTTAAGGCTCCATTTGTAATAATTTATTTCACCAGAGAATTTTATTTTTTCTGGATCTTCAGACTTCACTTTCCAAAAGGTGAAACGAAAAATGAATTTAAAATTTACACTTTTGATGGGCAGTATTAAGCTTATATAAGTTGACATAGAGGGTGGTGAGGAATGGTGTGAGAGACATGATCGAGTTTAGAGAGAGAAGGAAGAGTTTTAAAATTTATTTTTATATTTC